AGAGAGAGAGAGAGAGAGACGACACACACACACACACACACACACACACACACACACACACACAGAGCCACACACACCAAAAAAAAAAACACACTCACACACACACAAGCAAGCAACACGCACCATGGAGAGGGAATTGGGCGAGCACTTTGCCGGGGCAGGAGACGTGTTCGCTGACAATCTGCGTGAGGAATGCGCCCGTGTCAATGGCGAGCGCGGCAAACATCGCCTGTGGGAAGGCTGTCATGCGCACATCCAACTGTACGGTCGGGAGTCGAGACACAAGGAAAACGAACATGGGCCATCATTGGGGATGAGCGAGTGGGGTCGACAGCAGCATGCTCGTCAACAGCGCGACAATCTCACACAAACATGCAAGCGGCGTCGAAGAAATCAACAACCAACTCAGCTAAACGTATTCACACACATTCACACACTCACACATTCACATTCACACACGCACATTCACACACGCACACACACACACACACATTCACACACACAAGCTAACCATGGGCGTTGGCGTTTTCTGCTCAAGGCACTTGACCATCTGCCACAGGCGATTGCACGCCGCCTGCACATACACGCGCAGAGGCACTTCCTCGCGATAGGCCTGCACATCCCAGATGGGCGGCACCCGGTCTCGGCTCGCACACAGGACGGTCACCGCCAGAGTCGACTGGAATTGGGGAAGAGACAGGCAAGGGGGGGGGGGTTTCGACGTTGGCGTGAGAGGATTGCAACATGGCAATATGGACAAGTGGAATGCTCGAGGCGAGCAACATCAAGTGAACAAAGTGATTGATATCACACACACGAACGCGTACAATACACCACAAAACAACACCACGCAACACAAACCACCGCACGACACAGCACAACCGATTGCAAAAGCTGACGGTGCGTGTGTCATTACCTGGGGGAAGGTTGGTGACGCCACAATCTGGCGAATCACAGCAGCGTCCTCGGCCATGCGCTGCAGCTGATCATAGATGGTGACAGCGGCGTTGTGTGCCAAGGCAAACACGCACGGGTAGGTCGACTTGAGTCTGGACGCCGCCAGCTGCTTCAGGCGATCACGCGGCAGCTTCTCCTGCATGCTCTCCACGTGGCGTTGGCAGAATGCCAGCACCTCCAAGCACTGGTCCTTTGTCGCAGCCTCCACCACCTTGGTGCCAAGCGCGCTGCCCATCTCCAGACGCTGCACAGCGAGGGCAAGCGACTCCATGCGCGTCGCCTCTGACGACCGCGAGCGCCACATGCTGCCGAGCGTTCGGTCCTGCAGCAGCATCTCCGCCTCGTGTGGCAGGCCGTGGTCCAGCGACGCCGCAGCCTTCCACCAGCTGGCGAGCGCACTGCCGTCATTCCCGAGCGAAAAGCTCTCGTCGAGCACAGACAAGCTCTTGAGCGTCGACAGGATGTCACCGCCAAGGAACACACCCATCATTGTCTCAAGCAGACGCTGGTCCCAGTCGCTCGCAACCGCCCTGTAATGGTCGTCGTGGTGTGGTGATGGCGGCGGCGTACAGTTCATTCGCAGGGGAGATGAGGAGGGGAGCAAAAGACACATGAGCACACGCACACAAAAGCACACACACACACACATGCACGCAAAAGGGCGGGCGCACACACATGCACAAGAACAGGCAAAGACAGGCAAGTGCGCAGCACGACGTACAGCGAGTAATCAGCCAGTGCAATCTGCATGAGCTGCTGCTGGAGGTCTTGTGACGTCTTCAGCGCAGCCGCTGACGGCGATCGGATAAACTCAAGCAAACGCGTCGTTGCACACACGAGATCCGTGTCGCTCAGCGGCGATGGCAGGAACCATCCTGCAACCACGCGGTAATTGAAGAACAGCCATGTGCGACGAAGCAATTGTCAGTTTCAGAGCCAAACGCACGCACATACATACACAAACAGACAATCGAACAGAGGCACACACACACACACACACACACACAAACGAACAGAAGCACACACACACACACACAAGCGCAGGCACGCACAAAGAGCAGGTACCTTGGTGGGTTTCACGGCTGACAAAGGCGGCGTGACAAAGGGCAACGGTGAACAGGACAAGGCGGGTGGTTGCGTCCTGTGCAGTCTCAATCACATCCCTGAACGAAAACGTGATGCGTTGGAAGTGCTCCAGAATCGTCGTTTCCCGCGTGAGCGAAATTGTCACGCACGAGCGAACCAGAGCAACAGGCAGCCTGGCGTCCTTGTCGCACAGCAGAACCAGCCGCGACGGGAACGTGGGTGAGCTTCCTCCAATGGTGGTGCTGCTGCTGAAGCCGCCACCACCACCACTGACACCACTGACACCACCGCCAATCACACCGACATCGCTGTTGTTGCTCTGCAGTGCAAATGCCACCAGCAGCGGGAACAGCGAGGGCTGCAGCTCAATGCGTTCGCACACAATCCAGGAGCGCGCGGTCATGGCCTTGTCCAGCACCGACCGCACATACTCCTCAGAGAGACAGCCAAAGCACAGGCGTATCACGCCCACACCACCACCACCACCGCCATTGGTAGCAGCACCACTCGCTCCGGTACTCGCTGGTGATTCGCCATTTGCGAGCTCATACAGGGCAGACACCACCTGTTCCTCGGGTTGGGTGGCCGAGTCCAGCAACAGCAGCACGGGGCTGGTGGGTGTCGGCTGCAGCTCGTCAATGTCGCACAGCTGTCGGTGCGTGGGTCGCCACGTGTGCGTGACGGCATCTGTCACCTTCCTGCGGTTCACCAGCGGCGTGGGCAACCCAATGCCAAGTGCCTGCTGCGGCAGGTGTGTCAGCACGTACGAGTGCAGCTGCTCCAAGAACAGGTCGGGACGTAGGGCCCCCAGCACCAACAACCTGTAGAATTCAAGCACGTCAGCGTTGTGGCGGTCCATGTCGTAGGCGAACGTTGTTGGCATGTCCTTGTATGTCGCCCGCACGCGTCCGCACCATTCTTGCCATTCGCTCGAGTGGCACACCTGCCCATGCATGTGTGAGAGTGTGAGAATGTGTGTGTGTACATGTGTGGGAATATGTACATATATAAATGTGTGTGTGTGTGTCGGCGTGTCTGCGTGCGATGGGTGTTGCTTGTGGTGTGCGCAAAACTTCAGCTGCACTCCACGCAGCAAACATTGCCAAAGGCAACTTACCCTCCAGCCAACCACACCCACAACCACACCCACAACCACACCCACATCAAAGCGTACCATGGAGCAGATATCGCGGAGGTTGTGCATTGACGTTGCGAGGGAATCCACCTTCTGCAGCTCTTCCCACTGATCGGCACCAAGATCACGCATGTTGAATGTGAGTGGGTTGATGCCACAGCACAAGCAAGGCCAGCGAGCAGAGCAAACATACAAACAATGCGCCCGGCTGCCCACAACAATACACACATACTCTGTGCTCATCTCATCTCCTCCACATTCTCCAAATCCTCCTCCAACATACACACGCAATCGCCCACTGACCTGCTGCGGCATGATCCACTCCACAGGTTTGGGCACGTCCTCGAGGGACACGCGAGGGCTGCGGCGAGTGGGCATACGGCCCTGGAGCTCCAGCGGCACAAACTCAAGCAGCAGCTCCGTAATGTGTGCCAGCTCTGCCTGACACGGCAAAAACACCGTCGAGGGACGGCGCTCGCGTCGCATGGGTCTGAACGACTCGCGACGGGAGTGGCGCCCGACGGAACGGTCACGGAGTGGCTCAAGCGTGTCTTGAAACGTCCCGCTTGCACGGCCCCTCTTGTCGGTCTCATCCACATCCTCTTCAGTAAACTCAATCGTGTGTTGCTGCTGCTGCTGTCGCTGCTGCTGCTGTGTGTCCTTGCGCTTTTCTTGCTGTTGTTGCTGGTGCTGGTAAAAGTCCTCCTCCATGTCAAAGTCCTGCTGATCAGTGAGCATGGGCACAACGAGGTGTACGTAGAAAAGCACATCAAACGCAGTGCAGTGCTCGTCCAACAGCGCGTCCCGGATGTGGCGAGCAGCAGCCAGTAGCGCAGCGGCAACAGGAAGCTCGCCCTCCTTTAGGTCCGAGACCATCTCTGCGATAGCGCTCTCTGGCCGTCGCGCAGATGTGGACGTGGACGCAGAGGAGGAAGACGTCTTTGCAGATGCAGTGGACGGGTTCTCGGGTATTCCCACTGCCGCTGCTGACGACGAGGATGGCCGTGCTGACGCTTGCTCCATGGCCTCCTCCAGACCCCGCATGAACAGCCGCACCACCATGCCGGCGGTGAAGCCGTAGTTTGGCGACACGCGGTTCAACGCGAGAGCCAGCTGCACCAGGCGGCAGCAGTAGCTGCTGACGAGGTCGCACCTGTCCTTCGACTCCTCCAGCTCCTGCATCACTTCGTGCGTTTCGTTCAGCTGCCGGTCCATGTCCTGCTTCGCGTGCACGACCTCAGCAATACCGAGCGCGTCTGGCAGTCCGTTGGAGACGCGCAGGGCGTCCACCACCTTCTGCCGCGCCACAACAATGCCTTCCTCGAGGCGGCTGGCTTGACGGATGAGCTCGTTGAACTGCGTGTTGTTCTCCGGCCAGTACAGCTGGTACAGCATGGTGCCCACAAACTGCTGCATGGAGCCCAGGCTGATGTCTGCGTACGACACAAGCGACAGGTACGTCTGGCCGTGCCCCAGCCACGAGTCAAGGTTCAGCTGTGGCCCACAGATGTACACACGCGTGGGCAGCATATCGGGGACAACGTGGCCCGTCACGTCGTAGCGCAGCGTCATGCCGTGCGAGCTCGTCTCAGTCACACTCGAGGTGGACATGCCAGACTGCAGGTCGTTGAAGACAGAGTGCCGACCCGCGGTAGGACGGCCCTGTTCATCATCTCCTGTCGCTGCTGCACCCGCGTCCTGCTGTTGCCCGCCTTCCTGCTGTTGCTGTTGCGGTGGCAAGCCGTCTGCTTGTGCTACTGCTGTGGATCTGTCCTCAGCGCCAGACACGAGGCTGGCAGCAGACGCACTGTCGCCGGCTGTTGCTTGCTGGCCAGTGTTGTCACCCTCCTGCTCGCTGGTTTCGTTTCCATCAGCGCCACCGTCCTGGTCACCATCACCTTGCTGCTGCTGCTGCTGCTGCTGCTGCTGCTGCTGCTGCGTCGTTGTTGCGGACGCTGCCTGCTGCTGAGGCTGGGGCTGCTCGGGCGTATGTGCTGACGGCGCTTGCGATGTCATGCGCTGCCAGATGGACAGCAGGTAGTGGTGCAGGTTGTCATCCAGGTAAGCGGGCGCGTTCAACAACAGCACCGGCAGCTGCGACGCGAATGCGTCCTCAAGCTCCATCTGCAGCTTCATCCAGTCCACCGTACCAAACTTCATGTCCACAATCGCCAGCTCGTCCTGGCTCGGCACGTGGTGGTGGTCCGCCATACTGGTCATGGAGGGGCGCGCGGTGCCCACACGGGACAGCCCCGCTGGTGACGGCGAGCCCCGTCCGGCAAACGAGTCTGTCGACAGCCGGTGCATGCCGGCGAAGAGCGATGCCGTGCTCTGCTGCTTGCTGCGGCGCTGCAACCGCGGTGACCCCTGGCTGCCCACGTCATCTTGCTGCTGCTGCACTTCGTGCGGGTTCGCGGTCGTGGATGCGTGGCTCTCTGGCGGGCCTGATCGGCATGACGCAATCTGGCCCGTCTCAATGCGAACAATGTGCTCAACACCAAACCCGTGGGGGTCAAGCACGAGGTTCCATGACTTGGGCCATGCGAGCACAGAGCGGTTGATGAAGAAGAACTCGTCGTCGCCGTGCTGCGCCCCTTGGATCACGGCCGGTTTGCCACACAGCTGCGGCAGAATCGTGTCCAGGTCAAGAATCTGCGTTTCGTCTTCCGCCTCCGGCACGGAGCGAGCCGATGCTGCCCGCAGAAGGGACTGTTCAAACCCTTGCGTGGACACGCGTCGCATCACGCTCGCGCGGCCGTGCACCTTCACCTCCGAGGCAATGCGCAGGCCCTTGTCCAGCATGCTCTCCACCCACAGCGAGATGATCTGCACGCGGCTGTCATGTGAGAGCGCAGGCAGGTATGTGCGGATGGCTGCGCTCATCAGCGCGTTTGCCTCAACATACAGCGCTTCCTCCTGCAACTCGGACAGGCTCTCGTGCCACGACGCCTGCTCATCACGTAGCGTCTCCAGGAACGCCTGGGCCTGCTGCAGCTCCTCGGCAATGTCGGCCAGCGCCTTGCGGTGGTCGTTCTTCACGCGCGTCGACGTGTCAAACGATTTCTGCAGCGCTGCCACGCGGTTTGCAATGGCAGAGCAAGAGCGCTGCATGTCTTCAAGCCCGGCCTGCCGCCTGTCAATCTCCGCCACAAAGCCGTTGTACTCGTGCTCGAGTGGGCGCGCCACCTCGTTCAGGTGGTCGTGCAGCGACACGGCGTCCGCCAGCCATTGCAGCAGAATCTTGTACGCCTCCGGCTCCTCTTCCTCGTCCTGCTCACGGAACATGCTCATGCGCCGTGCAAGCGGTGACATGCTGCTGCGGCGGCGCAGACGACGCGCGTGTGCTGCATCCACATCGCTCGGGGACAGGTGCTGTGGTGATGATGAGCGGGGAGCAGGGGACGTGCTGCGCCCGCTGCGTTCATCATCCTCGCCACCGTCGTTGTCGTCAGCACCGATGCTGTCAGTGTCGCCAGCCTCGGTGTCGCCTTTGCTGTTCTTCTTCCCCTGTGTTTGACGTCTGGCTTTGCTCTTGCGCTTGCTGGTCTTGCTGCTGGCTTCGCTGGTCGTCTCCTCTTCGTCTGACGCGGCGTCGTCATCCCCTTTGTCATCTTTCGTTGCTGCGTCCTCATCACCATCATCTCCGCCATCATTGCCGTCGTCGGCACCGTCCGCGTTGGCACCGTCACCACCATCCCCCTCCTCGCCCTTGGCACCGCCATCACCATCGCCATCGTCTTCATCGCCATCGTCATCGTCGTCGTCATCCCCCGCCGCAGCAAACGGCGTTGCAACAGGGAGGTCGATGTCCGACGACTCAAACAGCACCTTGATTTCAGACAGGGCTTGCGGTGAGATCTCGGCGCTGTGTGCGTCCTGCAGGCTCTGGCGCAGGCGGTTCACGTCACTGCACAGGCGGCGACCAGCCATGCGCCAGCTCAGGTCAAGCTCAGCCACGTCCTCGGGGCTGTAGTTGTTGAGGAGAATGAGGATGCACGCAAACACGAGCTCAATGTTGTCCGAGACCCGGGCCATCATCTGCAGCACGCGGATGTTGCTGTCGTTCAGCTTGCCCACGTGCCGGCGAAGCAGCTTCAACTGCGTGTGGAGAACAAGTGGTGGTCGTGCATGGATGGGGTGGAGATGGGGGAGTGACGATGGGATGAGACTCAGAGGAAAGGGACATCAGATTGGAAAACCTATCTCCGAATTGAGGAGGTGGGTCGCTTAGCGTCACCAGCAGGGATCACCCAACCAAGCAAGCAATTCAGCAAGCTGCTTCGTGTGCATGCGAGTAACAGAGAGAGTGTGTGTGTGTTTGTGTTTGTGTTTGTGTGTGTGTGTGTGTTTGTGTGTGTTTGTGTTGTGTGTTTGTGTGTGTGTGTGTGTGTATTTGCTGTCTCGTGGATCACTGACCTTTTTGGTGGTGATGCTCATGGCGGCATCATACTTCTCCTTGAACGTGGGCAGTTGCTGCTTGAGTTCGTTGAGATCGTGCTCTTGCGTCGCTTGCTTCGCCTGCGAGCGCTTGAGCGCAGCCAGGTCCCGCCCAATCTGCGTCAGCAGCCTGGTTCGTATGCATCAACGCACAGCAATGAGTGGTAATTGCAAGGAACAACCCATTGGAGGGCTTCAAAGGCTGCGTGCTTGAACAGTTGTTTGCATGTTTGCTCGAATGCACGTGCTTGCATGTGTGTTTCGTTTGCGTGATGTGAGTGGGTGTCGTGTGCTGTCTGTGTGCTTTGCTTGCGATGAGAGCGGCAATTTGGAACCGACCTTGTGGTGATAGCGTCCTTCTCGTTCCACACGCTCAGCAAATCGTCGTGCTGTCAACGTGAAAGAGAGAGCAACATCATGACGCGTAAGGACGTGAAGGAGCAAGGCATGGACCTGCAGTAATCATGCATGTGCAAGCGCAGGTGACCAAGGCATTTGGCCGTGCACACAAACACAAACACAAACACACACTCTCAATCACAGAGACACAAACACAAACACAAACACGCGCACTCAATCACACAGGCACAACACACACACTCAATCACAGAGACACAAACACACACACACTATCTCAATCACACAGACACAAACGATTTAACAAATACACACCTTCGATTTGAGCTCTTGCACATGTTCTTGAGCGTCGCGTGTGTGAGAAAGGCCTTGCTCACGGCTCACAGCTTCCTCGCTGCAGGAACGAAAGGCAGATGCAACCACAACGACAATGTAAGTAAAGGTGCCATTGCATCGTAGTGCAATATATCAGCAACAGTACACGTGTCCACATGCACACATCAAAACAGAGCACACGCGCACGCACAATAGCACACACAATAGAACCCACGCATGCACACAATAGCACACACATGCACCACGACGTGCGTTTGCGCACCTGATGTACTGCCATTGCAGTTTCAGCATGGCTGCTGCTTCGTTGACAAACGTGTCAAAGTGCGACGTTGTGACGTGCGCCAAGGCAAGCTGGTCGTTGAGGTGGGAGCATGTGTAGTCCGCGACAATCTTGTGCATGGTCATCATGAGCGGTGTCAGCCGCGTCACAACGGCCTCATCGTACAGCCCTTGCAGCTGACGTGAACATATGCGCGCATGGTGTAGGGAAGCACAGGATGTGAGATTGAGAGCGGCTGAGGGCGAGAGAGGGTGTGTAGGGGATAGCTGAAGACAATGATGATGCGCACTCGCTTCGGCCGCAAGACACACAACTCATGTTCTACAACACACATGTATACGCACACGCACACGTGTATACACATGCACATTCATATGCAAACACGCACACGCACACATGAACACACGCATGCACATTCATATGCAAACGCGCGCGCGCACATCCACATACACACGCACACGCACACGCACACGCACCTACACATACACATACACACACACCTTGTGGAAGGACGCCTGGAGAGACGACGCAGCCAGGTCGGAGAGGTCGTCTGGCACAGGCTGTGGTTGCGCAAACACAAGCAAGTTGCTCACCAAACTGCGAGATTGAGCAAGCAAAGGGATACGCAATCAAAAAAGTGATTGGGATGAGAAACACACATCAAGGAATATGGCAAGCGGCAGAGAAAAGCGCCCTGACCCAACACTGGAAGGTGAGACAGAACGCACATGACGTGTACACACGTGCACACACACACACATACACACAAACACACACACCACAATGGGCACACAAGAGCACGTGCTCACCTCGGGTTGAATGCAATCAGTCTGAGCTGGTGATAGACGGAAGAAGGCCCGCGCTCCGGCACATAGAAGACCAGGCGAAGGTTTTGCCTGCAAGGGAGATTCAACACTCAGGAAACGTGAGGCCCGACACATGCTTGCGAGCGACAAGAACACAGGTGTCTCATGCTGCGTGTGTACACTGGTACACTGAGGGTTTTGGCACAACCTGACATCATGACCGCACCTACAAAACACACACAGTCACACACACACTCGCATTCACACACGCAGACAGACAGATACCCGCGCAAGTACACAGTCGTGGCATCACGTCTCCTTTCCTCTCTCTCTCCCTCTGCCAATGCACTTCATTGTAACAGCGAGCGACGCACCTGATGGTGCGCTTGAAGAACGCCCACGAGTTCTTGAGCGATGGCTGCAAGCCGGCTTGGATCACCTTTGGTTGGCTCAGCGTGCTCACGGCGACGAGGTTGTCTGGCGAGAGCAGGTCACCAATCTCCCCGGATGTCACAAAGCTGGCAAGCATGGACAGCACGGGCGCGGGGCACTCTGCCAGGCTGACGGCAAAGACAATCTTCTCATCGCGGGTGCCTGCACGCATGACAAGGTCCACAAACTGCGACCGCACACGCCTGTGCTCGGAGAGGTCCTGCGCAAACATGACCTCAAACCCGGCCAGTGTGCCGCACAGCTGCACAATCTCCTTCACGCGAGGCATGCGCAGGAGAAAGTTGGTGCGATACTTTGCCTGTCGCATGTGCTCCACCACCTCTGCAATGGTCACCACAAAGGTGCCGGGCAGCTTCATCTGCAGCGTCGACATGTGCCCTTCGCTGTCCATAAAGTAGCTGGACAGCGTGTTCTTGAGCGACTTGTACAGCGCACGCGCGCCAACGCTGGCTGGACGCACCTTGCCAACGCCGCCACCGCCGCCACCACCCGTACCACCCACGTAAGCATGCTGGTCGCCATCAAGCACCCTGGGTCCACTGCCACGGCCACTACCACTGCCAGCGCTGGTCGCGCTGCTGGCGCTGCCGCCTTTGCCCTTGTTGAGCACAGCATGCACGAGCTCACGCGGGCACAGCATGACGCTCTCGTCGTGCTCGTGGTCAACGGGGATGTCGTGTGTGAGAAACGCGTCGTGCTTGCACAGCCACACGGGCAGGGCTGGCTCGCTCGGCAGCAAGTCGCGGAAGAAGCGCTTGCGCACAACATTCTGCAGTAGCGTGCGGAACCTGCAGAGGGAAGGGAGGGAGGGACAAGAAGAAAAGATGGGGGGATGGTGTGTGCGGCGAGAATATGAGTGTGAGCGTGAGTGAGTATGTGAGCGTGAGTGAGTATGTGTGCGGTGAGTGCGTGAGTGTGTGAGTGAGTGTGTGAGTGTGTGAGTGAGTGAGTGTGAGTGAGCTTGAGCGGGAATGTGTGAGTGTGAGTGTGTATGAGTTGGGGGGGGGGGGCAGAATGTGCACGGCAACAGCGGCGCATGACAACGAGCACCTAACACACAAGGGTGTGAATGCGCACCGTGTAATGTCGTTCTGGGACACCATGCGTCGGGAGTAGACGGTGGCCAGCACGGTGGACCAAACGAACACAACGAGCTCGAGAGACGCAAACGGCTCAAGGCGATTGGCAAACTCAACCAGCGAATGCTTCAAATCCCGCTCATCAAACCTGGTTGATGGCAACAAGCAGGGGGTGGGGGTGGTTGTTGTTGACGTGGGTGAGGACGTAGCATTGTTTGGACAACAAGCGCAGTCACACTATCGGACGATCAGCAGTTTGCAATCACGCACACTTGTTACAAACCGTTCAACACCAAACGCACACACGCACGCACTCACAAACATCCACAAATACAGAAACACTCCAACACACGAGCACAGATACAAACCTGTAGAGGCAGCGTTCGCGGGTGCTGTTGTATTCGCTGCAGAGGAGGTCGTGCAGCTCCACAGCGGCGTGAACAATGGGGCCAACCCATTCCGTGTAGTGGCGGGGATTGGCTGCAATTGGGTTGCGCTGCTGCTGCGGCGTCTGCTTGTGGTGGCGCGTCTCTTGCTGCTTCTTGGAAAAGAAGTGCGACGTGAGCAGCGTGTTGTACAGCGTGCCCCGTTCCTGCGCATCAGCCAGCGGCAGCACAAGCACCGTGCAGTTGCGGCTGAACGACGGCGTCAGGAACGCGTTGTACACCTCCTCGTTCATGTCGAGCGTGGCAGACATGAGGCACGTCACCCCATTGACCTGCCGGCACCGCCCTTCCGCATCAAACGTAAACCCGTGCACGCTCAGCTGCTCCATAAACTTGCCGGTCGACGAAACGCGCATCGCTCGCTTCTCCCGCAGCGGGTCGGCATCGGGCGCCATGCCCTGCTCCCCGGCAAAGAACACATTCATGTCGTGCGGAGCGCTGCCGTCGCCGCTCCGACCAAGGCTCGCTTGTGTTGCAGCGGCACCACTGCCTCCGCCGCCGCTGCTGCTGTGCCGCCGCGTGTTCGCTGACGCGTCAACCGCGTGATCTCGGCCGTCACCAGCCGGCGGGCCACTCTGCAGCGCCTGTGTCGTGTCAATGTCATCAACGACACACACGAGCTGTCGCCGCGAACCCGCAGGCACATACGCCCGGCCAGAGGGGCTCTCAAGCTGCTTGTGCAGGCTGCGCCACAGCGCCGAGGGGGTCAGGCGCTCTGAACCTTGCAGCGACACAATGCCCGCATCGGAGCCGCCCGCGGTGTGCCGCGTCTGCGTCTCCACAATGTCCTGAAGCAGGGCAGACTTGCCTGCTGCCGGCTGGCCAAGCAGCAGCACGTTGCGGGATGCCTGCAAGGACAGCTGCGTCACGAACTTCGTCGCCTCCATGCGAACGGTCGGCACCATCGCTGTCTCAATCGGGTGCGAGTCAATGCCTCGAGCGGGCGGGAGCACAAACTCCGGCAGGTACTTGGACCAGTGGGTCATCCTGCCCGTCTCCTGGTCCACGCGGTACGACAACACGCTCTCCAGGGCCCCGAGCTTGTCCTCCTCTTCGTCCTCCTCTTCCCGCTCAGCGTTCAAGTCGGTGTCGTGCTGTGCCGCGTCATACCTTGCAGCGGCGTCTGCCCTCGTGTCTGGCCGCGTGGCTCCGCCGTCAGCGCGTCGCGGGCTCACGTCAGTGCCGCTGCCCTCGCCAGCGCTGTCAAAGTGCCTGTGTGGGGATGTGGACGCACCCCGGGTACGGTGGTGGTCGTGGTGTGCATCGTGGCCATCACCGGCCTCGCCACCGTGCTGCTGGTCATGGTGGTGATGGCGGTGGTGATGGTGGTGGTGATGATGGTGGCGGTGCGAGTGCTGTTTGGCGCGAGCAGCCTTAACCGCTGTGGGGCCGCGGTCTGCCTGCGCCATGCTCGCGTGCTTGTCGCTCGGAAACTCAACACCGGCAATCTGCGCGCTGCGAGTGCGCCACCAGTCACTTGCCTGCTGCTTGGCGTCGACCTGCTCGTCCAGCACCGTGACCAGCGGGCCGAGACACGCCCACATGAGGCAGAAGTTGAAGCAGGGCGCCAGGAAGCGCTCCGTCTGCGTTTTGCTGCCCTCCGGCACGCACGCGTCAATGCACGGTCCAAACAGCGCAGTGGCTGTTGAAATCACGCCCAACGCACAGTGCAGGCGGCGCTTGTGTGCAAGCTTGCCCATGAACTTTGCCCAAAACTCCTGAAACAGCTTCAGGTGCTGCTGAACTACTTTTGCCAGGTGCTCCGAGTACCGCTCCTCCACCGTCGTCACCCAGTGGCGCGCAACCTTGCACGCGTTTGCCAGGTCGTTGGCGTCGTCCAAGCGCAGCACGCCACAGTAGTCAGGCGTTGCCGTGTCAGTGCTGGAGTCAAACGCATCCGGCGTGGACAGCACAACCACGCGAATCTGCTCGTGCACGCGCAGGTAAGAGCCGTCTGGTAGGGGCAGGAGCCCTGTGTCCTCCAGCAGCACGAGGCGGGCGCGCACTTCGTCGGGGACAGGACCTTCAAGCACCAGCCACTTTGTACGCAGCACCTGCTGGTCCCGCGAGCGCACCGTGCCCTCGCTCGCTGCCTGCGCCTCCAGCGATTCGCGCAGCTGCTGCAGCAGCAAGGGGATGAGGGCGCCCTGCCCCTGACTGTGCATGGACTTGCTGGCTGGCCCCGTGCCCATGGCAGTGCCAATCAGCTCCTCCGAGGTGAGGTATCCGCAGGGGATGCTCGCTGTCTCCACGTCCAACCCTTGACGGCGCAGCGCTGCAGCCAAACCACGCACGCACTCAGACTTGCCGCAGTTGGGCGAGCCAACCACATACACGACGCGGTGCGCGTGCAGCAGCGCGTTGAGCTTCTCCACGCTGGCGGGCAGGTGGCCCTGGAGGGACAGGCCCATCTCGTCCAGAACGGCGCTGATGTCTGGGCCGAGCGGGCGGTTGAAGCGGCGAAGCGTCGACGGCAGGTGCGTCACGTCCATGATGAGCGTGGCGTCGTCCACGCGATGGGCGGCATCAAAGCACTGGCGCAGCGCCGCCAGGAACAGCTGGCGGTCTGTGGCGTTGTTCACGCGGCTGCCGACAAGGGAGAGGATTGCCGAGGTGACCTCCTCCTCCTCGCTCAGACCAGACACAGCCGGCGGCTCTGGACGCGTGGCCATGACAAACGTGATGACCCGCTGGGTAAACGGCAAGCCCCACGTGCAGGAGAGCGGGTGGGGTAGCTGGTTTGGAAGCGGGCGCGGGGCGATGGACGCCATGATGGTGGCGAAGCGGTGCAGGCTGGTGGCAAGCTTGGATGCCTCGTGGAACCCGTGGGCCGAGAGCATGGCCTCCGCGACAAATGCGCTGTGTGGGAGGGACGCGGAGATGGTGCGGAACGTCTGGCGGACGCCGACCGGCAGGGGCTCGTGGTGCACGCTGGCGTGGCTAAGAACACACACGGGCTGTGTGGACACGCGCACGGGCGGGCCGCGGCCAATGCGCACGACATCGCTTGCCTCCGATCGCACGGCCTGCATGATGGACCGGACTGTGTCGGCCAGTGAGGCCAGCACGCTCTCCGGCAGGCACGACACGTTTTCCAGCACGAGCACGGAGTCCATCGTGGCCATGCCTTTGAGCGCCTGGGCCAGCAGCTGGAAGCTCGTGAGCTGCGTGCAGCACACGGTGTGCAGCGGGCGCCCAAGCAGGTACGCCAGCGAGCGCATGGTGTGTGCAGGGCTGCTGCGCGTCTCCGCCGTGACAATGGCGCCAAGCCCGAGGCTCGATGCGCGCATAACGCCAAACCAGTAGCGTTCCGACAGGTCTGTCAAGCACATGGCCTGGCTTGGCTCCACAACCTCGAAGCTGTATGGGGCGACGGTGGTGCCGAGCTGAACGAGGAGGTCGCCTTCCTCGTTGCAGTGGCAGCGCACGACGCTCGACGCCTCCCACGTCAGCGGCAGCGAGTCATCCACAGCGGTGCTCGGCGTGTTGGCCGAAAACTGAGGGGTGAGTGGTGCGGATGCAAGGCTGCTTGGGTTGTCGCTCAGGCGCGAGGCCACGTCGCGGAGGTAAATCAGAAAGGCAATGATGGTGGTCATCTTCTGCCGGTCCGCGGTGCTGTGTGCACTTGCCAGTGTGCTCTGCATCTCGTTCACCTGCAGCACGCGCGCGTCGTGCAGCTCCTTGAGCAGACGAGGCACCTGCGCGGCCTCCTTCGTGTTCGCCTTGGCAACGAGCGCGTCAATCTCCTGCGTGTTCTTCACGAGCAGCGCCATCGCCACGCACTGTGCCAGGCGGTCCATCGTCCAGTTCATCGAGTATGCAGAGGCGGCGCGCTTGCGGGGGAGGTGTGCACCGATGCTGCCGTGGCTGCCGCGGCCGACGTGTGGCGGTGACCGGCGCTCGCCGCTGGTTAAGTTGCGGGGCGAGGTTGCTCCACCACGGTCTCCTCTGCCCTCGTCGCCATCATCATCATCGTCGCCGACACCACCTTCCTTGTCGTCACCATCATTGCCCCTCTCCTCGTCATCAGCATCAGCATGGGCCCCTTCCAGCTGTTGCTGGATCAGGTTCACCGGCTCGCCAGGGATGGTAAAGGGCGACAGAATGCCTGCAAGCAACGAAAGCCGATGAAAGGAGAAGGGGGAGTGTTAGATCTCACCCAAACTCACACACACACACACGCACACGCACACATGCACACACACACTCACACATACACACCTTCCATTTGGTCGTCACGCAAGAGAGTCATGATTTGGTTGCGCACAAACTCCTTGATCTTGCTTGTAAGCGTGTCCAGGAACACCACGGCTGGGCCCTTGAAGATGAACGACACATCAAACTCGACCTTCTCGCCCGTCGCAGCAGTCACGCCAGTCACAATGTTCCTGTCATGTGTGTGGGTGTGTGTGAGAAGCGTGTATGTGGTGTGTGTGTATGGTGTGTGTGTGTATGGTGTGTGTGTGTATGGTGTGTGTGTATGGTGTGTGTGTGTGTGTGTGAAAGAGACGGATTGGCACGACGTGAGTTAAGGTTAACTGCACGATGACTCGAAACAATTGCGGAGGTAGCAACCAACACTGCCAGCGAAAGCACCATCGAAAGCACCACCACTACGCCCTGACTGCTCAGACTCACGTTTGGTTCCGGTCCTCAATCTCAATGGCAGAGATGCCGGGGAAGACGAGATTGAGGGCGCGGGAAATAAGGCCTGGGTGGCCGCAGTACGTCTGCACAGCAAGCACGTCTGGCGGCGACAGAAAGTAGAGGCGTGGCAGCATGTCGCAGTGGTTGTAGAAGAACCGTTGCAGCGCCCCTTTGATGTGCGAAAAGTTCTGCGTGTGTGCGTGTGCGTGTATGCGTGTGTGTTTGTGAAATGTGTTGAGTGTGTGTGTGTGTGTGAAATGTGTGTAAGTGTGAGCGTGAGTGTGTGTGTGTGTGTGTGAAATGTGTGTAAGTGTGAGCGTGTGTGTGTAAACACTGCTGTGTGAATATGCGGCTGAATGTGCGGTTGAATGTGTGATTGCGCCGAAAACGCATGCATGCACGTTCAGAGATATCCTCATCCCATGCACACCTCGCAAACGTCTGCCTGTCACCTGTTGGATGTTGTTGAGGAGATTGAGGACACCTGGGCGGAGACACAGACCGACCACTGCTGGGTCGCGCTGGATGGACGCCAGCAGCGAGCGAAACTCGTTGTCTGTCGATTGGAACATCTGCAGCAGCAAAAACCGAGACACAACGAAGGAAGAGAAATGAAGATGCGATGGTCAATGAGAGGAGTGAGTGATAAGGGTGTGTGCGATGTCCATAACGAAGAAAGAACAGTGGCAACAGCAGGCTGAGGTGAGCCGCGGTGGTTCACCACGATAGGCAATGTGTGCAGGTGGGATCATACCTGGATTTCACGCTGCAGCTCGCGATCAAACGCCGTCTTCTTCTCGTTTGGATGAAGGCCATGGCGAAGGCTGCCCAGGCTGGCTTGCGTCATGCGCATGGAATGCTTCATACCGGACAGGCGGCCCTCTGCTTGCTGCTGGTCGTGCATGAAGGTGACAAATGCCTCGGATGTTGTGATCCACAGCTCTTGCACGCGGCGCAGCGTCGTGAGCACCTCGTCGATGGTCTTCAGGCGCGCCTGCGCACACCACAAAACCAAAAGGGTAAAAGGCAGAGGAACAATGAATGGGGTGAGGGGCAACGGGTGGCAGCAGCGTCGCCATGCTCCGCTTTGCACACAATGATGATGGCTGGCCAGCAGCAGCAATTGTCAAAATGGATCAACCAAGCATCACCTTCCTCACATGAACAAAGCTCGACTGAGCCTGATTAACGGGAGAGAACACACGTCCATAAACCCCACGTACACCCATGCACACACGCACACGTACCTCAGTGGAAGCGATTTCGCTGGCCATCACGCGGGAGCCATAGCCCTTTTCCGTATGCAGGAACTCAATCGTGCTGCGGTTGTTGGCCAGCATGCCAAACAGGTCATCCAGCCCAGACACAAGCATCGCAGCTGCAGGTGTATGAAGGCACATGCATGCGTGAGTGTGAGTGGAACTGCTAATGTTATCTCCACAGGTGTCACACAAGACAGTCAGAACCAAGGCCGTCGTCAATATTCACCACTTGTACCACACACACACATACATACAGAGAGAGATAGATAGAGAGAGACACACACACACACACGCACACGCACAACGCACGCACACACGCACAAAAGAAGGCCCGCAAGGGTGTACCTGTGAGCTCGTTTGAGCGCGGGCCCTTCTCGCTCATGACAGAGCCTCTGCTCGAGATGCCGCTTGCCCGCCGGTCGCGCGAATCCGTGCGCAGTCGCGAATTGCGCCCGTAGCGCCTACAAATAGTGGTGCAGTGACGCAGTGGGTGTTGGGTGACAATTAGGCGGTGAATATGGTTGCGTGTGCATGCGTGTGCATGTGCTGTTGCGCTAAGCAGCGGCTTGAATTGGGTTGTGATGCATTGTGCTGTGGAGGCAGGCCGTAGCCATAGTGCAGGGATGTGCTGACTGTGCATGTGCGAACGTACTGTGAGACAGTGGTTCTGCCTGTCCGAAGGGAGGATGTGACGCGCTCATTGATGCCAAGGCCCGGGTACCAAGGCTTGAGGGTAAACACAGCCGTCATCCACTTTTCCTCATACAGTCGCAATGCGTTCTCGCTGCGAATGTCCTTCGCCGCCAGCGCAACCACAGACTATCAAGCGCACGTGATGTGCAGTGAACAAGGGGGCATTGTGAGAACATGTCACACAGGCGAAACGTCGTCATTTGTGTGTGTGTGTGTGTCTGTGTGTGTGTGTGTGTTATGCACTAGTAGATGTGCACGTGCGTGGTTTTGCTTCTTTGTCAACAAGTAATAGTTTGTCCTGTCACAAAGAGCTCCTTGCCACAAGCATGCCGTGACCAACGAGCCGAGAGAACATCATCAACACAGCATAATGTAACCAGGTACAAACAAACCTCAACAAGGGATGGCTGGTCCTTTGGCAGCCAGTACAGCATCTCTCGCAGCGTCCAATTGCTGACTGTGCTCTCATCCAGCGTCTCAGTCACGCCTGTGAAGGTAACACGGGAACAACATCACAGCACCAAATGGTACCACGCACATGCACGCACACGCACACGTTAACACAGACACAAAGCATCCGTCAGTAAAACTACATGCAAGCAAGCAAGATCGTCGTCTGCAACACGTTACTGAAGCCATCAAGCACGCATCATCACACAATGGGTGCCCTCGCTCTGAGTGCATGCACGCACCAGCATCGCGGAAGAGTTTCTTCCAGTGGCTGGACCGGAGATCCTCTTTCTTCAGGTTTTCCAGCAGCGGCACACTCCTGATGAGCAACGCAACCGCGTTCGTGAGTGACGCAAACCACAGTCTTCTCCCCCTTCAGCGAAAGCTCGACATGCACAGCACAGCACAACACAGCATAACACAAACACACGACACAACCACAACATGATATCTTCTTCTTCTTCTTCTTCTTCTTCTTCTTCTTCTTCTTCTTCTTCTTCTTCTTCTTCTTCTTCTTCTTCTTCTTCTTCTTCTTCTTCTTCTTCTTCTTCTTCTTCTTCTTCTTCTTCTTCTTCTTCTTCTTCACAGGAGCACACTCAATAAAAGCAAGCTTACTTGATAATGGCGTCTGTTGACCGCTGCAAGCCCTGCGTGACGTCCCATTCAAAGCAATCCTCCGGCAGGGCGTGGATCAACTCCAGCATGGACTCCGCCTTGGCCAGCGCCGTGTCGAGGTCCGCCTCTGTCCACCTGGCGGACAGCACACCACCAAGCTGCTCGTTGAAGTGCAGGCGGAGCGACGTGACCTCGTCCACGTGCGCCAGCGTCTGCTTGGCCGTGGTGAGCAGCCCAAAGTCGACAATGGACATGTTGGTGAGCTGTTGCAGCTGGCTCAGGTCGCGCGACTGCCGCTCCAGCTCGCCAAAGATGCGCGTCTGGTCGGCAATCAGCAGCCGGGACATGTCTGGTGGCGTCCCGCTCACAAACGCGTCGCTCGACAGCAGCGCATCAAAGGCGTCGCGCAGGCGCATGTCAAACTCCACCAGCTGCTGCTTGATGCGCTCCGCCTCTTTTGAAATTCGCGGCGCCAGTCCGCGCTTGAGGTCCTCCAGCTTCTTGCGCATCACCTGCATGCGTTCGGGAAACGCGGCATACGCCTCCCGCTCCTCCACGGGTACTTGAAGGTCGTACTTTTCAAGCAGCGACAGCGTGCGCTGCAGGGGACCGAGCTTGCCGTCCGTCTCCTCCTGCCGCAGCGACACGTCGTGGAAGAAGTTCATGAGTTTCATGAACGAGAAGTGGGAGCCGGAGGACTTGAGCTCCACAATGCCGTCCTCTGTCCAGTCCAGGTAGTTTTTCAGCTTCTCGATGGTTCCCTCCGCACAGTCCAGGATAAATGTGCCAAAGGTGTAGAGCCACTTGGAAGCGAGTGCACGCAGCGTGGCGTTGATTGGCACCATATCCAGCTGCAGCCAACCGAGCTGGCGCGTGTCGGGCATGGCCCGCAGCCGCTGCTGGGCCGCTTTGAACACGTGCAAACAGGACGAAAACTCCTCCAGCGTCGGCACGTCGTCAACGTCCCTGTCGCTCAGCGTCGCCAGGTCGTGCATGCGCCCAAACCGGTTGGTCATGGTGAACTTACGGGAGGCACGGTCAAAGCGCAGCGCCTGGCCCGTCACGTTCTTGCTCAGCACGCTGAGCTGCGCGTTGCTTGCAAGCATCCGCCTGTCCTGCAGGAACAGGTTGAAGAGGGCTGAGGGGTCCTCGTGGAACAGCAGTTGAAAGCTGTCGAGCACGTGCAGCTGTTCCTGGCAGTGGTTGGCAGACTCGGTTACGGCTTCGTGTATCGCATCCACCATCGCCCGCACGTTGTCCTGACGCGCAAGATCAAACACCTCGCTTGTTCGCGGAGACTTTACACACGTGGCCAGCTGCACACGTTAAAAAATCAAAATCACACCAAGAGGGGGACAGAATTAACACGGTTCACACGTGAGCGAGAGAGCGAGCGAGCGTGTGAGCGTGTGTTCAAAGAGCCGGGGGAGAAGTTTGGCACGGCCGGCAGAAGTAAAACGTCCATGCAACGCTGGCAATGGGGGGTTCAAGAACGCAACGGATGTGCATGGATTCACGATGCGCATGTGTACGAGCACACACGCGTGCAGACACGCACAAACGCACAAAAACACACACACACATGCACAAAAACACACACACGTACAAGCAAGCAAGCCCGTGTGTACGCAGAAATCTACGCTCATCAAGGCAGCGGCCAAGTTCACACCTGAAGGACGTCGGTGACGGTGCGATCGACAATCTCAACGAGCGTGTTCTCTGCAGCGTGCTGGGCTTGGACCAGCGGTGGCTTCTGCACAACAGTGCCATTGGTCACGCTCACCTGTGTTGAAGGAAGGTGAGGGAGTGGGGGAAGGATGGGTTGTGTAAAGATCCGCGAATGACAGTTGCAGTTGCAGCAGCGAGTTGAGTTGAGTGCGATGGAAGTTTCAATCCTGCTGTGATCATCGTTTGCAGGTTCGGAAGTGACGCGTGACCCACAAACACACACAAGCGCACGAAAATCAAACACACACACACACACCTCGATGCCGATGACGGCCTTGACATTCGATTGTGGATCGTGAAGGCACTGGTACAGCTTGTGCAGCGCGGTTGACACCAGGTGATACACGCCTACATTGGACACGTGGGCATGCGAATGTTCAATCGGGAACGATGTGTCAATTACGGCATGCAGATGAAATACGACACCACAGAGCAAGCAAGCGTGATGTGCTGCACGTTTGATCGCGACCCGCAACACCACAGACCTGATGCAATTTTGTCGTCAAGATGTGCGATGAAGGCTTCCCACGCCGGCGATGACTCTGTGACGTACGACGCAGTCAGGCACGACTGCACAAGCTCTTCGAGGCGATTTGAGTCGTGCACGAGCATCGATCGCACGCGCTTCATGCAGTCCAAATGATACTCCTGTTTGGATCAGACGAACAACACCACGTGAGAGCACGTGAGAGTACGTGCGCGCGTGGGCGAACTCCAAACACAACAGCACGCACAATGACAAAGACAGGGACACACGCACGCGCGCACACATGTGCACACACAGGCACACACATGCACACGCACACATACACACACGCACACCTCGAAGGATTCTGCGGTGAACGGGCGCTGCTCGAGCGCGTCATCTGCAAATGCACTTTGTGGTGTTGTGATGGACTTCCACCGCTCCACAATCGCATCCATCTCCTTGCGGGCGCCAGCAACCTGCGCAGGGGGGTAGCAGCAGCAGCAGCAACAACAAAACAATCGGTGAAGATGGTGGTGGTGGTGGTATTTGAGTGGTGGAGCAAGTCATGGGAGCGGGTGTATCTGGTAAGTTCAGTGTCATGGGCAATGTTGAAAAACACAACCGAGTTGAACAAAGGCTCGTTCCACGCACAGTGTCGAGGCGAGTTTGAAAGCCTTTGATGAGCAAATCCTCCAACGTGGCCAGATAGTCCTACAGCAACGCAACAAGACGAAGAGGAACAAGCAATGCACGCAACACGTGCATTGGAGAGGGAAGATGCTGGTCAATGGTACGTTCGTGGGTCGCATCAACCAACACGTCAGTCAAGAGTACCAGCGCACAAACACATACACAAGCAAACAAACAAACACGCACAGAAACAAACAAACAAACAAACAAACAAACAAACAAACAAGTAGCTCGGTCTTGGATGGCTGCGTGCTCACGTGCAAGCTGGAGCTGCTGAAGTTGAAGTCGACGGTTCCCTTCGTGAGCGCCTCCACCAAGTTCGGGAACATGTCGTGGTACAGCGGTCGTTCAAACTGAACACAAACCACACGATGAGGGGACAAGGCGGGGGCGGGGGGATGGGTGAGGTGAGAAACATAATGACACTGAATCGTTTACACGTGTGCAAGTGAACATACATAATGTGTGCGTGACAGTTGCAATCACACGGCAACGCTTCATCGCGCAGCGCACCTTGTCGAGTTTGACGCGGAGGTGGTTGTACATGCCCAGAACCATGTCCAGCTTGGCCACGACCACATGCAGCGACGGCTGCCGCTCGCACAGCATCTCCATCGTCTCCCCAATCTTGTACTACACGCAAGGTGACAGGGGGAGAAGGGTTGTGTGTGTGTGTGTGTGTGTGTGTGTGCGTGTGTGTGTTGATGTGTATGCATATGTGTGAGGATGACTGAGGATAAGCAAGGAAGTGTCTGGGGTGATCCATGAAAGGAGGGCATATCCCACAGCCTCATCGTCACCTCACGCTACTCAGCACCAGCGCACATCACATACCCCGCGTCGCTGGAGAAACTGGGCCTCTCGCAAGCGGCGAAGAAAAGCGAGCGGAAGATTGACCTGGAACACGGGCAGCCGGTGCCGCGATGCCTAATGGTCGCAATGGGGTGGTGGTGGTGGTGGTGGTGGTGGTGGTGGTGGTGGTGGTGGTGGTGGTGGTGATGATGATGATGATATGGTCGCAATGGGGTGGTGGTGGAGGTGGTGGAGTGGTGGTGATGATGATGATGATGATGATATGGTCGCAATGGGGTGGTGGTGGTGGTGGTGGCGTGGTGGTGGTGGCGTGGGGAACACAGGTGAGCGTATGAGCGATTTGTGGTGTTGTCAAGACAGAGTGGACTTGGGTGCGTGCTTGTGGGCTAACACATGGGCATGTGAAAATACAGTTGAACAACACGAGCAGTCTGCCTGCAAGGGGCAAGGGGGGCATGACGGCATGAGCGAATGCGACGTTCATTCATACCAGGGCTGCTTCGTCGGCTGAGGAAACCATCATCTTCTGGCGCACAAAGAGCGTCGATGTCAGCACATCCCCAGGCTGCACAGACAGAACAATGGTGGCGGCGATGGAGGGGGTGAGGGAAACTTGGTTGACAAGCAGACACTGTCGCTGCATGAGCGTTGTGCTCGCAATACGAAAAGCATTCATGTACATGCACGTGCGCGCACCACACACACAAACACACACACACACAGACACACAAACAAACAAACAAACAAACACATCCCAAATCCCACGCCACGCAAGTACAAACACACACACACACGCGCGCGCGCGCCACACAAACAAATGACAGAGCAGCTGGGACTCACAATCTGTGAAGCGAGCATGTGCCACTGGCTGAGCGTGTGCTTGCGCATGTTTGCAATCTCCTTCTCTGCTGTGGCGTGCAGCACTTGCAAGTCGTGGCCAGCCTTGGACAGCAGGCACGCCTGGATACGGATCGTGTGAAGCGCAAGTGATGTGCCGTGAGCCAAGCGAGACACGAAGAAATCCGTCCCACACATGCAGAAAGGCAAGCAAACCAGCCCTCAGTTTCGCCTTTCACGTGCACACGCACACACACACACACAGGCACACACACACACACACACACGCACGCACGCAAGCATGCAAGCAGTGTAAGGGGACCTGTGGCAGTTTCTCGATGACACGCCAGGGATCTTTGATGCGCTGCTCAAGCACAGACAGCTGCACCATCTGGTGGCGACAACAGAGGTGGTGGCACATGAGGGTGTTGGTCGGCAGACGATACAGGACGGGAGGTACAGAGCAGCAGCAAGAGATGCTTTGTTGTGCATGCGAGCACACAGTCACACAAGTGGAGACAACACACACGCGGATGTGTGCACCTTTCCACGATAACACAGGCGCACATACACACACACGCATACGCATACACACATGCACGCACACACACACACACACACACACACACACACCTCGTCAATAAACGGGGTCGCGCGGCGGTAGGTGAGAAACTCTGGGGGCGGGGTGGTGTCGGGGACGATTGAGCTGTCCAAAGAGAGCTTGCGGCTGGCGTGGCTGGGTGGCGCCATCACGGCTTCGTCATCGCGGAAACGGGACACGGGCGACGAGAGCACCTCCATCGTGTCGCGGTAGTGCTGCGTCGCCTCGTGGATAATCGCCATATGCTCATTCTCCAGGCCAGTCTGGCAACAGGCGGTGATGGGGAGCAGGGTCAGCAAAGGCCGAGGCAATTAACACTCAAGTTAAGAGTGCAGTCGAGAGAGAGAGAGAGAAGAGAGAGAGAGTGTGTGTGTGTGTGTGCGTGCGTGCGTCCTTGCGTCCTCCGCACGACCCTGAAGCATCATGACCAAACACATCACACCCGAATGTGCACAAAGCTGCCATGCCAAACAGACCCCCACAGCCACAAGCGCGCACACGCACCACGATGGCCTCTCGCATGGAGATGTTGTCAAACATGTCAAACACGTCGAGCCGCTGCTGCAGACTACTGCAGTGCCGATGCGCCTCCTTCAACACACGCACGAGCACGCGCTCGAGGTTGCGCACAGTCAGGCGCAGCTCAAAAAACTCCTCGTTGAAGCGCTCAACATCTGCGAGTGGGGGTGGGACAAGGGAACAAGGGGCGGGGGACAATGTGCGGTGGGTTGGTGGAGCGTGAGTACGACAGGGACGTGAAAAATGAGGAAGTGGGTGCGATGATATACAGGCATTGGTACTCGAGGGTATGTTGCACAGTGCGTAGATCCCAGGCATTGGAGCCGTGTGGTCAAGCGAGAGTTGACGAGCACAGACACACACACGCACACACACACGCACACAACGCAGCAGTACACCAACTTGCCGTACCGTCATCAATGTTGACCAAATTCAGCCGCTGCGCTTCAAACTTCTCCAGCGCAGGCACAAATTCCGCGTACACTTGAGCAATGCCTGCAGGCAACGACGACAATTGTGTGTACGAGATGTTGGTGGGGTGTGGAACCAAACACAGGCATGCAGACACACGTGTGATCATTGCCTGACTCACTAACCGACACCAAGCGCGCACAGGAGAAATGCACACCAATCGATGCCAAAGACACTCACAGCAACAGCCACGCTCAAACACAAACACGCACACACACACACAAACACTTACACACATACAAACACGCACACACAAGGCATGAAGCCCCCAAGCCACCATACTCGCGGGCAATAGAAGGGTGTGCCGGACCTGCTGTGAGGCGCTGGCCGTGGGGACCGCCCAGGGCGAGATACCGCAGCTGCTTGAAGTGGTGCACGCTCTCCGCCAAGTCGAGGATGTCGTTGCACCTACCAGGTATGTGTTGTGTGTTGTGTGTTGTGTGTTGTGTTGTGTTGTGTTGTGTGTGTGCGTGCATGAGAACGGATGATATGACACGCAATGAGACCTGGGCGTTCAAATGTATTCCACCACAATCACCAATCACCAATCACCATTGGCGTGCGTGCCGGCATAGGGTTTCACCTGTCGATGAAGCTGTTGAAGCGCTTGAAGGGCCCCTCGGAGCGCTCCGGCCACGCCGCCAGCGCAGCCTTGAACGTCTCTGGTGGACGAACGATGGTGATGGTGTGAAGACGATCGCGTAGAGGTGATGGTGTGATGACGTGAACAGGTTGTCGGGAATGTGGATGGGCGAGTCATTTGTTGAGTTGACCATTTGTGGGGAGCAGATGCAATAATAGAAGGAAGCAAGATTGGCCATCAACTCCACACATAAACGCACGCACACACACACACACACACACACACACACACACACACACACACACACACACACACACACACACACACGGCTGAACAATTGCAAACACAACGGGCACTGACGTTGCATGGCGACTTCCTGCTTTGAGGACATGGCAACGGAGATGTGGCGGTCATCTGTAAACTGCTGGCGCACCAGATTCAGCGCAACCGTCTGCGCCTGGTCACGCACGTCTGCACAGCGACAACGCGCACGGGTACAACGGTGGTGGTCGTGATCGCGGTCGTGAGCGGTGTGATATATGCCCACAGACACGAAAAGCAACGATGATCGAGTTCCCACACGCACGCACGCACCCACACAACCACGCACACAACCACACACAAACCACACACACACACACAACCACACACAAACCATATCCATGCCCTCTCCTCCGCCCTACCGAGGTAGGTGCCTCTGAATGAGGCGCAGAGCCTGAGCACGGTGCGCAGCTGGTCCTCAAGGCCGTGCGGGAAGTTGTTGTGCGGTGTTGTCGTAATGGTCTCTTGCGAGCGCCGGATAATCTGGTTGCACACAAACCGCAGCAGCCGCTGGAACCTGGCGCGCGGCGTTGAGGTTTGGGGAGGGGGGTTGTTTGGAGGTGGAAGGGTGAGGTGTGAGATTCAGAGTTGCAAAGATACTGTGGATGTGTGTGCTGAAATGTGTGCGATTATGTGTGTTCGGTCAGTGCAACACACGAACATGCACGTACGATACTGTTGTTGGTTGCTGTGATGCAAGTCACTGTGTTGGCTCAAATTTGTTTTCTACAAGTGCAAGCGCCGTGCGTGTCGTACCTCTTTGCCTTCCTGTACCAGTCCGAGTGCTGCCAGAGAAGGAAGAGGGAGTGCAGCATGGGCGGTACCTTCTTCACAGCCACGGGGATGGGCACAGACGAGTCTGCAAGGCAATCAAAGTACGGCTTGCACGCACGCAGCATCCTGTTGCACATTAGCGTGTGCGTGTGTGTGTGTGAATGAAAGCGGTGAGACTGAAGATCTGAAAACAGGGACGAGGTCATAAGCATGGGCGTCGCAGTCTCTCAACCCACATCTGCTCGCCTCCCCTCCCCGGCTTCATACACACACACACATACACATACACATGCAGATACATACACACACACACACACAAACACACACACACACACAAACACACATACACACACAGTACTGACTTGAGAAGGCGGCTGTTCTCGTCGAGGGCCGTCTTGACCTCTTGCAAGAGGTTTGAAAAGGACGTGACATAGTTGGAGGCTGCCGCGTCCAGCTCGTCCACGATGGCCTGCACCTCCATGCTGTGCAGCTGCGCGTGCACAGACTCCAGGTGTCGCTGGCGCAGCTCAAATGCCTGCAGCTCGACGTGCGGGCCCGGGTGCTTCACCTGCCGCACCACCTCGTTGATGTTGAGCTTGAGCAGGCCCTTGATGACTTTGCTCCAGGCAATGAGGGCTGACTCGAGCTGGTGGATGTGCTCCTTCATGAGGCCGTTGCTGGTGCTGGTGGCGGCGCTCTTGGCGACCGCGCTGTATGTGGACAGGCGCCCGGTGCGCATGCGCTCGCTCAGGTCGCCCTCTGCGCCAGCCGCCACGGCCAGCAAGGGCAGCGGCAGCATCACCTTGCCCTGCATGTGGCCCTCGGTCATCTGCATGGTGGAGAGCAGCTTGAGGTGGGCCTCGTGCACGCGCTTCGCGTCGTTGAAGGGGAGGTGCGGCACGGGCGGGTTGTCCACGGCGGCGGACAGCAGCGGCAGGTAGACGTCGCGGGAGACCAGCCACAGGTGGTACCACGGGGTGGCCACCAGCTCGCACACGACCAGCTGCTTGGCGATGTCTGCTTCGGTGATGCTGCTGACGCCGAATGTTTTGCGGAAGACGAGCAGCTTTTGGTCTGCCGGCACCTTCATCGGCACGAGCGAGAGCTGCGGCTCGTGTGTGTCTGGATCGGCGGCTGCAAACAGCGTCCTGTAGTCCATGCGCTCGAAGAACTGGAAGATCTCCCGCAGCATCTGCGCATCGATGGAGGACAGGCTGCCCTTGCACTCCAGGGATGAGTGCAGCCGCTTGTCAATCCATGTCAGTCGGTCGTCCGTCGCCATCCTTCAACGCGGAGGTGGAGACGGAGACCTCTGCTGCTGTGGTTGTACGTGTGTGTGTGTGTGTGTGTCTGCCTATGGATCTATAACTGCTGCCACTGCGTGTGTCTGTGAGTGTGTGTGTGAGTGTGTGTGTATGGTTGTGGATGGGGTGGCCAGCACGCCGCAGAGCGCAGCCCCTTGAGCGTCGTTCGTTGTGTTGCACAGAGTCACTGACGGGGAGGGTGGCGATGTTTGGTCCGACATGGAGCGGGGTGCGGTACACGCGCGCAGCCGTCACAATCCCCTCCGCCTCAGCAACCACAGGCGGTGGCGGTATCGCCTAGTGTGTGTGTGTGTGTGTGTGTGTGTGTGTGTGTGTGTGTGTGTGTGTGTGTGTGTGTGTGTGTGTGTGTGTGTGAATGACATGGAACCGGTCGCGAAAACACTGAATTGGATGACACTTCCAGTGGAGCTTGCGCATCGTCGAGGCCGCCCTGCATGGCTACATAAGGGGTGCAAACCTTTGTTGTGAAGTAGTGACGGGCCAGGATCTCAGCGCGCTGCACGTTGAATGTCTTCAGGGAGACAAATTTGGAGCTGTAGTAGTTGCCTCCAATGCTGGTCATGCAAAGGGATGCGTATGGGCGAGTAAGCAAGTGCGAGTAAGTGAGTGTGAGGGTGACGTGGTGAGTGCATATGTACACGTATCTGTGTATGTGCATGGGTGAGCACATGTGTACACGTATGTGTGTGTGTGTGCATGAGTGAGTTCATTTGAGGGAATCGTGGTGAGAGTCGGTCACAATACAGCAACAGTGGCGTCACGCACCTGACGAGGGAGAGCGGGACGTAAGCTGCCATCAATAGCGCCGCTTCGGTTCCTGCAGGCGATGATGCAGATTAAAGACATCATGTCAACCACAACAACATGCGCGCACGTAGATGCTGTTGTTGCTCACATGCACACCTGTACACCAAGCAGACACACCCACATACAAGCGCGCACGCATGCCTGTTGCGGTTGTTGTTGTTGTTGTTTAAGTTGTTGTTGTTGTTGTTTAAGTTGTTGTTGTTGTTGTTTAAGTTGTTGTTGTTGTTGTTGTTTAAGTTGTTGTTGTTGTTGTTGTTGTTGTTGTTGTTGTTGTTGTTGTTCCACACCTGTCACCTTTGACACGAGGATACCCAGGCCCGTGCCGAAAACACTTGCGGCGATGCTCTGGGACGTCATCTTCGCCGTCACGTCCCCTGCAGCAACGTGTGCATCATGCGTGACGTATAAGCGTGGTGCATGAACGAAGAGAACAAGGAAGGCACCAACCAAACACAGTCGCACACACCAGCAAGCACAAACAATATAATATTTCATGCACAAACGTGCACTTCCACGAACACACAACACCAATACACACACGCACAACCCCACAAAAATAACAACACCCCCGCCCACACCCACGTCGTACAGACCGAGGTTTGACGTGCGGGTGAAACTGAGATTCATCTGCGCGCGCGTTGCCGAGCTGGCAAGATAGGACACGTTCTTGCCAAAGTTGGACACGGAGGCGAGGAGGAGGAAGTGGTGCGGGAAAAGCGGCGTGATGATGTCCACGATCCCGCTCACCTGTCATTTTCGTCGTCGGTTTGTGTTTTTTGCAGTGAGAGTGGGTGGGGTGGGCGGGAATTGTAGTGATGGTGTCGCTGATCGTATTGGTGATGATGATGGTGATGATTGCTTCCACATGTGCACACATGTTCATACAACACACACACCACCACCACCACCGCCATCATCACCACCACCACCACACCTGCAGTGAGAGCACGGCGTTGAAGCGCTGCCGCTTCGGGTCGTCGTCGAACCGCGTGCCAAATATGCTGGAGGAATACAAGAGGAAAGGTGCGCGCGAGATGTGGTCGATGCGATGTGTTGTGCAGCAGCGGAGAGGATGGTCGGTATCAGCAGCAGCCGCTCGCTATGCACTTACGCCCGTCCTCAACCTCACGTCAGCTACCACCGCTTTGTTCTCCTCCTCCTCCTCCTCCTCCTCATCCTCCTTCTCAACCTCCTCCACCTCCTCATCCTCCTTCTCAACCTCCTCCACCTCCTATCCCCAAAGACGCTGCACCCATCAGCACATGCGGGGGAGGGGGGGTCGTGCATGCGTACCTGCCATACAACATGCCGCCAAGCTGCCCGAGCCCATCCTTGAGAATCCAGTTGATGGCTGCAGCAAGAGGGACGCTCCCTGCATTGGCGATACAGGAGGCGAAGGACGTTGGGATCATTCAAAGTGCAAACGGATGCTGGCGGCGGAAGGCAGACGGGTGCGCAAAACACAAACATTTGCAAAGAGTGTATTCGCATACCTTCAGGCAGGCACGAGAAGCATGCATGCACACACACACACACATACGCACACATACATACACGCACGCACGCACGCACGCACACATTCAAATACATTGCAAAAACGCACCTGCACCCACGCCCACGGCGTAGAGGAGAGACTGCATAGATAGGACGCCCGATGCCGTCATCGTGGTCATATGTACAAACTGCCACTGCAAACCCCCACCAGCAACCAAACATAATGGCAAAATGTCAAGACAGCCTTACACATTAATTTATGCTAGCATGGACGGGGCTACTGTTGACGCGAACCGAACTGATTTGATACCTTGCAGTAGTCGAGAAACTTTGGGGATACGCTCGCTCGGTAGTCACGAGGCAAGAATACGTGTTCCTGCAACACATAAATGTGTGTGTGTGCGTGCGTACGTGTGTGTGCGTGTATGTGTGTGTATGTGTATGTGTGTGTGTGCGTATGTGCGTGTGAGAGAAGGAACGGAATTCAGCTGCAGTCGTGCTTGTTCGAGGATAGGCAACGGCTGTTGGTGAACACGAGTGCGTCGCTGACATCGTCGCCCTGCAGCTTGCACGACATAAGCGAGGGCAGCTCACCAGTCGAGTTCGAAGAGGCTGCGATGTGAGAGACGACAGCATCAACGCTAGTCGTGACGGCATCTTCATCGTGGTTGTTTTTGTTGCGCCCTCTGCGGCGCTTGCATCCCTGCCAGTCACTGGCCGCTCCAACAACACATAGTGTACCACCGCCGTGCTCGCTCTGTTCCAACCATCCTCCCGTTGCCGACCCTTGTACTGGCCTCCACCCGCATCTCCTGCCTTCCCACTCAAACCACCACCATCCCTTGCTGCTGCAGCGCGTGGTTGCACCCGCACCACATGCTTGCCAGGCAGGTACTGCCGCAACACCACCACCGCGCTCGCCAGCCGTCCGCTCCGCTGCATTGCCGAAATTTACAACATATCATCAACCAATTTTCAGTAACCGCCGCTGCCAATTTGAACCACAACCACAACAACCACAACACACACAACATGCCGCTGCCACCAAGCATAAATGCTCAGCTCTCCCTGCAGGAACGAGTGGACAGGTGAGAAGAGAGGTTGTTCATGTTTCATGCACTGTTGTTTTGTGTGCGTATGAGTGTTTGTGTGCATGCATCTGTTCAAACAGTGAGCCTCGCCCTTACGCTCACAACATGCATGCCTGACACAACATACGCCCACAACACACAACACTCACGACAACACACGACAACTAGGCGAGCAGAGGCTGCACGACGGGAGGCTGCAATGAAGTATGCGGCGCAACAACAAGGCATACAGGCGAGCAGTGACGACATTATCGCCTTGCGACGAAGCCACGGATCCCCTCTCAAGATTGTTCGCTCAGTCTCGGACATGTCAACAACCAACATCGCCAACAGCAGCGAGGACGACGAAGACAACGACGACGACGAGCACAACAACTTTGCCCTTGAAGAGGAACAGCCAGACTATGATACTGAGGAAGAATCGACACAAGGACAACAGCAACACCGCAACACTGTTCAGACGCAGCACAGCGACCAGCACCCACCGCACTCGCACCCGGGCTCCCGCGACGTCACTGTCATGACAGACAATGTGAGCCACCTGCAGCAACATCAGCTGAGCATGCTGTCCACAACGTCGCGCGGAACACAGGCAGATGTGTCCGCGCTTGAACAGCACACTCTGACCAGTGACCAGAGCCACCTTGGTGGTCATGGTCATGGGGGAGATGAAGGAGACAACACCGCTCACCCCTCAGCTAGCCTGGGCGAGTCCCTTCCATCGGTGCATTGGGGAAGCCCAATCCACTCTGAGCACGACGACTCCACCCTCATTGCAGACGACGGCGACGACAACGACAACGATACCATACATGGTGGTGAGCAGTTGATGGCGCGGAAGGATGCTGAGCGCGCCAAGGAACACATGAACCGCCTCGAAGCCCTCATCCAGGCATTTTCTCCAAGAAAGGTGCGCTCTCAAATGTGGGGCGCAATTG